AAGCCGTAGTTATGCGATGCTGTGCGTATGTCACAATTGGATTGGATGTTGTTGATGGATTTACATCATTGATTGGGGCGAAAAATGACGTGGTAATAGAAGACAGCATAGATTCATCAAATTCAGTAGAATGTTGGAAGCTTATTAAATGTTTAGAACATGTAAACTGTTTAAAAAAACTATAGTAAATTTAATTATCACAATGAATTATAATTTCTTTAAAGATCTTACCCGTCCTCGTTAAGTGTTTCATGTAAATACTCTGAACCTTGGCCCGGAATGATCCTGAATGGTGTTGGTATCACGCTGGCTGTCATATTTATTGCTGGGGTTTTTGCCTATTGACACGAAATACATTATGCGACAATATTTACTTTAATTGTAAAAATTACACGTTATAAATTGACTTGTACCTTTTTCGGCGCATTCTTATTATTTTCTATATCAATTCCTTTCCTTTTCCTTGTTGTACTTGTTTCTTCTACGAATTCCATAGCTGGTGATCCATATAATATTCGCCTCGAGCTACCGTCTGAAATGTCTGTTGTACTTGCTCTCCTCATTCGTAATTTTTTATTCGACGCTCCCTGATTATTGTTATTATTCCAAACCGAAAATAACTCGCCTACATCATCATCTTCCCCTTCGTCCAATACCACAGAATCATTATTAGTTGTAACCCCATTGATTCCTAAACCACTAAATTCTGTCGGTAACACTTCCGCTAATCCTCGTAAAATGTTCATTTCCACAATATCACCTTTAACGTCACGACGCAAATTTTGAAAATGATTTAATACTTCGGCTAACGTTGGAGCTGAAAAAAATGCTTGAGCTGATGTGCTTTCAATATTCATTATTATTGCAGAATTGACTGAATCTACAGATTTAGATGCCCTTTGAACAACAAGCCCAATAAGATCCTGAAATAATGCACATGATTCTCGTGCGATCAATGGTGTAATCTCCCTTACGTCGTATTCTGATTATTGAATGATGGTAA